AGAGAGAGAGAGAGAGAGAGAGAGAGAGAGAAAATATTTAAACAACCTATTCATTTATTGTCAAGCAATAAATAAGTGGAAAATTATTATTTTTATAAACAAAAAATTTTAATTATTGTCTGTTATTGAGTGAAATGCATTCACAAAAATTTTCATAAATGTAAGTTTTCACAATTCTTCTTTTATTATGCAATTTTATTTATGACTCACTGTATAACATAATGATTAGGTTGTGTACACTATTGGTGAAAATGCATCGAGACAAAATGAAATATAAATAAAAACAAAAATTTATGTCATTTGCCATAAGAAATGTGAGAAAAAGCCCATTAAATGAAAGTTGACTTTTCGTGTCTCACATAATATTAATGAAAGTAATATATTTTTGTGCAAAAAATAAACATTTATTATAAGAATTTTTCAAAATACTAAAAAATCATTTTTATATTGTGATAGTAGTGTTAAATATTAACAGGTAACTTAGAAACATTTTGTGACACTAAAATATGGCCCTACAAAGGTGCTGTTTGTTACATATAATTTTGTGCATATGTATTGTAATGAACCTAATCATGACGGTTTATTGCGGACCTGATACGGCGAATAAAACCAAACAAGCTAAACCAAAAAGGCAACCAAACAATTTGCGTCAATCACCCACATCAAAAAATGTCAATACAGGGGCAGCAAAATGTGGTAAAGAGGCGTACAGAGAGATGGACGGTATGGTCGCCCAGTACTCCAGTAGTAATGACAGATTTCCCGAGAGTATTAAAGAGCTACAAGCTAGATGTTTGTAAGTAAATTATGCATGTTTACTTTATACGTGATATAATTCTAGTTTAATTTCTCTCTCTCTCTCTCTCTCTCTCTCTCTCTCTCTCGTTAGGAAACGGAAGGAAGTGTTGCCAAAGATGGAGGACCTGAAGAACCGATGTATGGATGGTTTGGCGAAACGAGTGGTCGCTGTTGTTATCTATTCAATGAAAAGGCAGCGAAAAATAATGTGTCGCAAAAAGCCTAACAAACGTATGCTAGAGATGGCCGGCGCCGGCAAATGTATTAACTCGTTCAGACCCGCCGCCCAGAACTGCGTGGAGGAGGCCATGGATCACGTGATTGGCATTAGAAACAGCACCGACAACAAAATGAAAATACCCTTTCTTTGCTGGTAATTATTATTCATAATTGTTGTATAAATATTTTACATAATATACAATACTTGACAAAATATTTGTATATTAAAAACAACAATAAAATAAATAATTCTCTCTATTTCCATGTAAATTCACAAAAAAATACATAATGCTTAAAAGAATTAAAGTCCGTGGGCTACACCAATTCTCAGATTTTGTTATATAATTTATTATATAAATAATTTTTAAAAACATTTTACAGTTCAATACCAAAAATAGTGATATTTGTTAATTAATTGTTAATTAAATGATATAACTTATTATATATAACTTATTAAATAATATGATTCACCTAGCACGTTTGTAAAAATGAAGGCGTGTATACTAGAGACGGGTCACCGAAGCAAACAGTGCAGTGAAGAGCATTTGTCACTATTGGTGCGGCAGTCGGAGCAGGTGTCCAACGGACCCATGAATATGGCCTGCGGTGACTATAACGAGGAAAGTGATAAATGTGACAAAATTCAAGTACCAAGGAGATTGGCCAACGAGACCTTGCCTAAAAGTTTTGTAATGCCCATGATCGATTTAATGGAAAGTCTTGGCGCCGAGTAATATGAGCATGGTGTTTAACCAGCACTATATTTTTAAAGATTTATTTTAAATTGTGGCATGCACACTTTTATACGTAATTATGATCATATGTTATTCAAAATCTGTATAAAATTAGTTTTCTATTTTAAATTATTTTAATGTTTATTAAATAAATTTAGTACACCATAGTGTATATGTTATTCTAATAAAATTTACATGCATGTAATTTTTTGATAAAAATATATTTTCGGTATGAAGGTTGTTTTATATTTTTATATAATTTAATAATTAATTTGTAATTACTAATTAGAAATAAATAATAAAAATACAATTTGCAAACAAAATCAAGTTGATGTATTGAAAATTTATTCAATGAGAAAAATACTATTCATTAGTAATCATAAATGTAAATTTTACAGTTATTTATAACATGGTGTATTGTCTATTAGACAATGTCTAATATTATTTATGACTAAATTTACCATATAATTATTATATTGAATCTGTAGACTAATATCTTGGATATCTTGGCAACATTCAATATAAATAGAAATATAAATTTATGGCTGTTGGCATAAGAAATACCAAAAATATATAACCAATAAGGTGAAAGATAATTTTTATTCAATATTAATAAACAATATGATTTATGAAAAATATAAAGAAAAGTACTAATGTATTGAAATTTTATATTTATGAAAAGAATTCATCATTTATTGTTTATTGTAATAGTAATAGTCTATTACTAATAGACATAACATTAGCACAGAATACTGAGAATTTAATATTTGTAAATTTGGTATTATTGGGATAACAGAATATGGCAGTAACAGGTGTAAATGTTACGTATATATGCCTGTGTATTATCATAAGCAATATAATATTGGTTAATTGCGATACCGTGTCGACCACTCGAACCAAACAATTTAAACCAAATAGGCACCTTGGCAATTTGCGTCAGTCACCCAGATCAAAAATCAATAATACAGGCAACTGTGGCAAAGAGGCGTACAAGGATTTAGACGATCTGTTGGCACAAGTAATCAGTAATAATGAAAGATTCCCCGAAACCATCAAAGAATTACAGTTTAATTGTCGGTCAGTAATTCATGATGATCATTTAATTATATTTAAGTTTATTAATAATTGATGTAGTATAATTATAATATTTATAAATATTTTAATTAAATTTAAATAGTATCCTGGATTATTAAAACTTACCTTTGATATTTATTATACAGTATTGTTTACTTACTATATTAATATTATTTTTTAACTTTATTTATTCTCTCTCTCTCTCTCTCTCTCTCTCTCTCAATAGGAATCGGTCTCATGTGTTGCCACAGATAGAGGACTTGAAGAACCGATGTATGGATGGAATATCCAAACGAGTGGTCGCTGTTGTTATCTATTCAGCGAAAAGGCAGCGGAAAGTGATTTGTCGTAAAAAGCCTAACAAACGTATGCTAGAGGTGGTCGGCGCCGGCAAATGTCTCAACTCGTTCAGACCCGACGCCCTCAAGTGCGTGGAGGAGGCCATCGATCACGTGATTGGCGTCACAAATAGTACCAACCAGAAAATGAAGATACCATATCTATGCTGGTAATTGTAGCTAAAATTATTATATGTTATAAAATTTTTTGTAGGTTTATTTAGTAGCCCATACCACTGATCCACAAATAACTTATATGCTTAATAACTTATTTAATAATAAGTCAGATATAAATATATCGTATAAATTTATTTGTTTATATATATTTAATTATATTTACTTAAATTAAAAATATGTTGATCTAGCACTTTTGTCAAAACAAAGGCGTGTTTACTACTGAACGTAAAGCTGACCAAAGAGTGCACCGAAGAGCACGTATCACTTGGGTTACGCCAGTCGGAGCAGGTGACCAACGGACCCATGAATATGGCCTGCGGTGACTATAATGAGGAAAGTGACAAATGTGACAAAATTGACATTCCCACGAGAATGAGCGATCAACCCCGGCCCAAAAGTTTTCTAATGCCCTTTATAGATTTAATGGAAAGTATCGGCGCCGATTAGAACATATAATATTTATGTACTGTAAATTTAGAGTTAAATATAATGTACATGGTTGACAATTAATTATTAGTTGAGTTTGATAACATAACATAAAGTATATTATATTTAAATAATACATTTTGCTTATAATAAAAATTAATAATAATGTAATTAAATGCATTATTATTATTTTGGCAAGACAATATGAATTAAATATCATTAATGTCGTAGAAAATTGTATAATGTTATTATAATGTTATGATAATCTAATAATAACATTATATTATATAACATAATATCTATATTATATAACTATAATATATATTAAAACTTTATATTACTTTAAATTTATAAACTACTAACTAAAACTTTATATTACTAACTATACATGTATAACTAATTTGATATTAACAAATTTTGAAAAAATTTAATATTAGAATAACTTTTATATAAAATATAAGTATAAAATAAAAATTAAATTATGAAACAAAATTGTTGAAAAGTTATTATTACCATGTTATTGTTTCAAATAGTTTGCACGCAAAAACTAGTGTGGTTGATAAGAAATTATAAATTACTAAAGCCACCATCAATAAAATTATAAGTAAATTACAAAAATAACTAGTGAGATAAATATCCACTTTTATTTTGCATGAATACTGCAATTAACCTTGGCAATAGAGTAAACATTTTTATTAAAATAGCTCGACGTCTGTTGTACTTAATCCGTATAATAAAATAAAAATAATAATAAGATTATGCAATTCATGTGTTGTAGAAAATAATAATTTACAAAAGTATTAAATATCGATTACAAATCATTGATAAGTAGTTCATTGAAACAGACAGTGGTTTACGTGAGGGGAGAGTGAAAGAGATTCATGATATCGATGTCTTGATATCACAATTAATCATTGATTGCCAATCAATAGCAAAATATTTTCTATACATTATTAATAATTAGTTAAATAATTAGTTAGACCAGTAATGAACAAACATTATATTTGTAATAGATTAATTTAAATATGTATACAATATATTTATATTTATTAATGACATTAAAATTTGTATCAATACTTTATGCCTTTAACATGAATTTAAAGCTATAAGCATTTTTACACTTATTCTACACTTTATTTATTAAATGTATCAACTAGTGGAAGGGTTTTAATAAATATAAACAACCCCAGGCTTGAACATTTTAAATATTACAATGATCATTAAAAGGGTAAAGCCTTCTAACCTTGTCTACCATCCCGTATAATGAAGAAGTACAAAATGTACGGAATCTAATTGTCATACAATATTTTGATATTCTCTCTCTCTCTCTCTCTTTGGTCAGCTTTACGTTCAGTAGTAAACACGCCTTTGTTTTGACAAAAGTACATTACTGGTCTAACTAATAATTTAACTAATTATTAATAATGTATAGAAAATATTTTGCTATTGATTGGCAATCAATGATTAATTGTGATATCAAGACATCGATATCATGAATCTCTTTCACTCTCCATCACAATAAATGTATTAATTATTTTAAATAGAAATTAAATCTAGATCTAAATAAAATAACAACAAAATTACTATTTGTTAAAAACATAGCGGAGACAAGGATTTTATTTTAAGCAAACCGTTATAACTGTTTATTTGATGAAAAATAGTAATGAAAATGTTCCACCTTGGCTTTAATAAGTAAATATTTTTATGTTTTTACTATGTATTTGCAAGACCCTGGTTGGTTTCGTGGTTTTGATCACTTTGTTGTTTTTGTTTTTTCTTCTGCACTAAAATAATCGTAAAAATACTTATATTTTATATAATAAATACTTATATTATTATTATATTATTTTATTTAATAGTCTATCCTGTCTTATAGTGTATACAGTATTATATTAATAAAAACATAGATTATTATGTAATGATCTTAATAATATAATAATTAATCATTTTGTTTCTGGTCGTTTCATTGACTATATATAGTTGTGGTAAACAAGTATTTGTTTGGTAAAAAATTTTGGTTAATTTTTAATTCAATAAAATACAGTAATTTCAACATTTAACTAAACATGTATTTCGTATTGAAATCTAATTTATTAATCAAAATGCTATTTATTTTGTGTTTATGCCTAACGTGTATAAGTGGGCAAACCAGTGATGATGATGAAGACACCCCCACCCCCTCCAAGTCTATACTTAATTCACCATGCAACAAGAATACGCTGAAACGAGTAGATGAATTTTTAGCCAAAGTGACCACTTATGGCAACTCTGGCCGCAAATTCCCCGAAAATACTGATCAATTGCCCAAATATTGCAAGTATTGGCACTTTTGTTATGTTATTTTTAATATTATTTTATGATTTTACTTATAATTAAAATTAATAACATTGTATGTGATTATTTATAGTGAGAGTAAGACCCTGGTGGAAAATATTGAATCGCTAAATAAACGCTGTATCGATGGGTTGGCCAAACGTGTGCTCACAGTCAGCATATTTACCGTAAAAAACGTGATCAAACAGTTGTGTCGCAAGAATAATAAACTTTTGCCCGAGTATTTTGAAGCTGCTAAATGTATTAATACTGTTCAGGGCAAGGTAATTAATTGAGCTTATTTTTTTATTATAAACTAATTTAGTTATTTAATTTAAAAATAATTTTAATCTGTAATTTAGGTGGGAAAGTGTTTCAGCAAGAGTATTGATCATTTACTTGGCATGCAATTTGCCATCGAGAATAAGAAAATACCCATGGCATGTTGGTACGTTTACATTTTATATTTATTTAAATAATATTTCTGAAATAAATACAAAAATGTTTAGTCAAAATTCTTCCCGTGGTCATAACCCAGTTGATAATTAAATTAAATTGAATTTATTTATTTTTTACATATTTATAGATTTTACTACAGTTTTATTTTAATAAATTCTATAATAATAAATTTTTATTTAATTCAAAAATACTCTATTTATTAGTCTTTATTCTCTCTCTCTCTCTCTCTCTTTCTCAATTGATTATCATTTACACTCTTTGCACAGGTACTAAAACTAAACAACATAAGGTTATATGATATAACCAATAATGGTGAACGTAATATGAAAACAAAC